CATCGGCACTTTCCCAAACTCTTTTGAGCAAACCATTTTCTACAGCCAGAGAGTTCCATTGGGCCCACAACGCTTTGTAAATCAAGCTCTTGTTTGACACTTCCCTCCATTCTGGCCTACATTCATCGTTTTCTTTAAGATGTAGAATTTGCCCGATGTCCTGGTCTGCCTCCTGATCTTCTCTCATTTGCTTGGTAGTCCATTTATCATCGACGATCAGGCCCGTTCTTCTTACAGCTGGACTAGTGTTTCTCATGTATATCGATTCTTTGACAATGTTTGCAATCTTCTTTACATGGCCGTCTAGACAGAGCGTCAGCATTTTTATGTAGGTTTCCAGGTCGATGTTTAATTTGGAAATCGTATTGCTGCAATTTCTCAATCCATCTAGCAAGCTGTCCTTCAGGAGTTTTCATTTCTAAAAGCCATTTTAGAGCTGCGTGATCTGTTCGAATTAGAAACTTGCGTCCGTAGAGATACTTATGAAAATGGTCGACTGCTTTTACTATGGCAAGTAACTCTCTTCTGGTAACACAATAATTTCGTTCCGGCTTTGATAATGTTCTGCTGTAGTACTCCACGACATGTTCTTGTGAATTTTGGATTTGTGAAAGGACAGCTCCAACACTGGTGTTACTTGCATCTGTGTCCAAAATCAACATGCCCTTGTGATCAGGATAGGACAACACTGGGCTCGTACATAATGCTCCTTTCAATTTTCTAAATGCGGAATCGCATTCTTGGGTCCAATTGAATGTTGATTTTTCTTCTGTTAATCGATGAAGTGGAGCAGCTATATTGGCGAATCCTTGCACAAATCTTCGATAATAAGAACATAATCCTAGAAAACTCCTTAGTTCATGTTTGTCGCGTGGTTTTGGCCAGTCCCTAACAGCATCTATTTTTCCTTCCATAACTTGTATGCCCTCTTCAGATACCACGTGACCTAAGAATTCCACTTTCTTTTGAAATAGGAAACACTTATTTGGATTGAGTTTCAAGTTGGCATTCCGGAAGCGGTCAAAAACTTCTTTTAGGTTATTGAGATGTTCTTGGAACGAATTTCCCATAATCATGACATCATCCAAATATACCAGGCAAGTTCTCCATGTAAGGCCTCGCAAAACAAGATGCATCAGTCGCTCAAACGTAGCTGGAGCATTACACAATCCGAAAGGCATTACATTAAACTGGTATAGCCCGTTTCCGATACTGAAGGCAGTTTTCTCTTTGTCATCGTCATGTATTGCCACTTGCCAGTATCCACTTTTGAGATCCAAGGTGGAAAACCATTTAGAGCCCGATAAAGTTGTTAGTGTATCGTCTATTCTTGGAAGAGGGAAGCTGTCCTTCTTGGTGACGTCATTAAGCTTTCGGTAGTCCACACAAAACCTAAGACTCCCATCTTTCTTCGTAACCAATACTACTGGCGCGGACCATGGACTATTTGACTCTTCAATGACTCCCTCTTGAAGCATTTTATCAATTTGGTTTTCCACTTCCTGTTGCTTAGCTATTGGCATACGTCGTGGTGGTTGTCTAATTGGGTGTGCCAATCCAGTATCAATTTTGTGTTGAATTAAGCTGGTTCGTCCGGTTTGATTGTCCATCACAAATACATCAGCTTCTTTCAAAATGAAATCTGTGGCTTCTTGAAGTCTATCTGGATCAAGATGTTTCCATGATTTCGCCAAGGTCTGCATCAAGGTGTCTGTATTGAATTTGGATTTCACAAAATGTCGCTTATCTGGTAGGTCACAGTTCGATATTTGCTTCACTGGTTCGAGAGCTCCAATAATGTCTCCTTCTTTTATTCTTACTGTTTCGGAAGAAACATTGGCAATTCTTATCATAATGTCTCCATTTGTTCTTACTAGAGTCTTTCCAACAAGAAATCTTTCTGGTTTATCTCCAATGAAATTACGTGTTAGCCCAACGCAGCACCCAGGGTTTGTTTCCAATCTTCCGCATATGATCTTCTCAGTACTTCCAGGAATCCTCACTGGGGTTGTGGCCAAGATCTTAACGGCATCGGATTCTTCTTGTGTTGTTAGGACAATTTCTTCATTACCAAATTTAAGGATGTTCATGGAAGGATCAAAAGAGAAACCATGTTGGCCGATCAAATCCATTCCCAAAATAAAATCATCTTCTATATCGGCTACTAGTGTTCTGTGCCTGAAGGTGGAAGATCCAAAAGTGAGCTCAACCATCGCTTCTCCTTGAACTGGTGCAGATTCGCCGGTGACTGTTCGTAGTGACAGGTTTCTAGTGAGCGGTTGGATTGCTCGAGACTTGACTAATGTTCTTTTAATTATGGAAACTTCAGCACCCGTTTCAAAAGTGATAGTTTTCAATTCTCCATTAATTTGTCCTTCGAATGTTAATCCTCTATAATGACTGCCCAATGATTTTATGTAAACAACCCTGGGGGCTTCGTCATTACTAACCAGCATTCGCCCCTCCATACTGGTTAGTTCTCGTTTCCCTGTCTGTTATTAGGGCTGGCGTCTCTCGATCTCGAAAAGCGTTGGAAACGATCCCTTGATGGAGAGGACATCCTCACTCTACAATCTCGTTGAATATGCCCAAGCTTATGGCACCGGTAGCACTCTATTCGGTTTCTCGGGGTTAGTGTTTGTCTGGAATCGTTTCCCATTTTTCTATCTTCTTGTAACAGTTTCTCCATTCTCTCCATGAAATTACTCATTTTAGTTTCGAAGCTACTATCCTCTTTTGACAACTGTTTATCTTTTGGGTCTTCAATGGACACTGCTCGTATTCTGGGTCGTGAGGCACCAAATATTGCTTCCAGTTCTAATGCTCGGACAAGGGCTTCGCTACTTTGTCTGAACTTGGACATTCTTAGGTTTTCCTGGATCTTCGAATCTCTGAGACCATCAATAAACGCAGATACTGCCATCCATTCCTGCATGTCTTCCCCAGCTGCAAGAAACGCCAAACTCACTCGCCTTTTAACTTCCGATTCAAATTCTTGTAGACTCTCGCCGGGTTTTTGAACTCTTGATTTAACTTGAGTTCTGAAAACTTCTTGTCTGTAATGGTCTCCGAAGCGCAGTTCTAAAGTTTGACTAAGATGCTGGTAATTCTGTTGGTAGACTGAAGGAATGTACTGAAGAAGGTCTAAGGCAGGTCCTCGTAGCGCCACTATTAGTGCTGTAGCTTTTTCTTGGTCGTTCCATCCGTTGGTATTTGCAGCAGCTTCAAATTGTCGAATATACATGGTCCAGGACGTAGAACCGTCGAAAGATGGTGGTTTTATCTTCATACTGGAGAATGCTCCAACACTAGCTGGATTTATGGACTGTATTTCTAATCTACGCATCTTATCCTCGAGTGCTTGAACTTGGTCCTCAACTTCTTATCTTAATTGCTGAACATCGTCTTTAACTTCTTGAAGATCGGCTTTGACCTCAGCTTTTACTCCCTGAACGTCGTGTTTAACTTCTCTTACATCGTCTTTAACTTCTTGAACATCGATTTTGACTTCAGTTTTTACTTCCTGGACGTCGTGTTTAACTTCTTGCACATCTTCTTTAACTTTTTCAATCTTCTGGTCTAAGTTAGCGACAGTTCCTTGTATGGTTTGGAATATCTTCTGCAGTTTTGCAAGGTCTTCTTGTCGTTCTTGTTGTCGCCTAGCTTCTTCTTGTTGTCGTCTAGCTTCTTCTTGTTGTCGTCTAGCTTCTTCATCTTGTTTTTCTTTTTGTCGCCTGAGTTCTTCGTCTTGTTTTTCTTGTTGTCGTCTGGCTTCTTCTTCTTGTTTTTCTTTTTGTCGCCTGAGTTCTTCGTCTTGTTTTTCTTGTTGTCGTCTGGCTTCTTCGTCTTGTTTTTCTTGTAGTCGTCTGGCTTCTTCGTCCTGTTTTTCTTGTTGTCTTCTAGCTTCTTCGTCTTGTTTTTCTTGTAGTCGTCTGGCTTCTTCGTCTTTTTTTTCTTGTTGTCGTTTGGTCTCTTGAAGTTCCAACATTTTGCGCAGGAGTTCTTCAACTTTTTGTTCGTCCATTTTGGCTTGTTGTCTTGTGATAGGCATATACAGAATGTTCTAGAATTTCCCTCGCACTTTCTTCAAATATCTTTTCTGGTCTGTGCTCGAAGTTCCAACACGCCGGTGAAGTCACAAATTGGATAACTTGCTTTATTCGCGAATAGAATGTTCTGGAATTTCCTTGAAATTTATTTTCTAGATGTCGATTGATACAGCAAACACGTCGGTAAAGTCACAAATTCGATATCTCCCTTAGTTTCCAAATAGAATTTTCTAGAACTCACTCGAAGATTCACTATCACAGTCTAAATCGGGTATAGAGTCACTTCCAGGGTAATTCACACGATCGGTTAAGTCTCTTTTTGTGATTGTCACTGTTTGCACTGCACTAACTGTCCCAGTGTTCACTTAGTGTTCAGATTTTATACTACACTAGTGTCCCCGCACTTCCGTAATTGGATTTCACTCTGCAGTCTTTTATATCCCACTTCTTGGCACCAATTGTCGCGGCTTTGGGTTGCCTGCTGACAAAAATCTTGGGTTCGTTGTTCGTTCCGTTTATTCCAAAAATCAAAGACCAATTAACACAGCAATAATTTATTCCACTTAAAAAAACACTCTGACACTAATTACTTTATTAACAAACTCAACAATTAAACTCTTTACAATCACTATTTAAATCGTATCACAGTCGAACTGAAACTAAACTTACAAACCAATGCCGGCCTTCTTATATATCCCTAAATCTATTCCTGTGAAATCTAGAATACACACGATAATCTAATTTTCCAGATTAAAGTAGAATAATTCGCTAGATTCTAGTATTTCCGCGATCGATTCTTGACAGCCTGGCGGACGTTTAGCTTATTGTGACAATATTATATTTGTTCTATTTTCTTATATTTCGTATTTTTATGTTTTTATATTTTTGTTTTATTATTTTATATTGTTACATTTAGGCATGATAAGCAATTATTTTTCTTTTTTTTTTCAGGAATTCCCACCCCTGGGTCGTTTCGCTGTCCGCGACATGCGTCAAACAGTCGCGGTGGGGGTGATCAAGCAGGTGAACTTCAAAGACACCACCGGCAAAGTTACGAAGGCCGCCGAAAAGGCCCAGAAGAAGAAATAACTAGACTTAGCAAGGCATTCGACTGAAGAAGGCCTCGAAGAAATCTTCATCAATAGTTTTTATTATTTTTCTAGGAGACTTCAGCTTAATTATTTTCATCGCAAGGAGTTTAGAAGGAAAACCGATTTTTTGTTGTTGCTTTTGTGGGTTTTTCTTTGATGATCTATTAATTTTGCCATTTGGATGTTTAGACTTTTTGATAACGTAACAACCCCGAAAGCATCAGTCGGAATTCCATTTTTTAATTTATTTGTATTGTATGTTTTTTTTTTTTTAATAATTTCCACTTACGCTTCTTAGGTAACCCGTTAGTGAGTTTAAAATAGTATTGATTAGTATTATATTGTAGTAGTATTATAAAAATATTTGATTTGTTGAATTTACGTTTCTCATACATTGATGATGATCAACTTCGATAAAGTGTAATTCTGTCAATACCCAAATAAGATGGGATGTCAGAAGAATAGTTTTGTCTTTTATTTATCACTTCCTCTGTTGTGCTGTTTGATTATTAATTTCCTTAATTACAGATTTGAGTAAAAGGAATCAAGTACTAAATAAGTGAAGAAAAAATGAAATAGAGTAAGTAATTTTGTTAATTTTTATTTGAATTCCAAGTGCTACGTAATACGTGGTACCTAATACATTTTAAGTCGACGAAACCTCTGGGCGGTAAAAGCCTTGCAACAAGGTAGCCAACCCAAAGAAAAAAAAAATATTCGTCCTGACAAGATAACGTTTTGTTTTGATTTCTAATTTGTGACGTTTTGTGTGTGTTGTTTTCCTTTCCTTTTATTATTTTTCAACTACGTGGTTTGATTTTTTTCAATAATTTATTATTTTATTTATTTCAAACGCACTTAATTTAATGTTAATCCTCGATGTCTTCCAAACATTTCTGCTTGAAATGGACAAAATTTCAAGCCAGCATTTTAAATGCCTTCGAAAGTTTACAAAACACTGAAGATCTTGCAGATGTTACCCTAACATGCGAAGGAATCAGCGTAAGGGCTCACAAATTTATTTTATCAGCATGTAGTCCATATTTTAGGACTATTTTTAAGGTAAGTCATTTGTAGATTTTACTAAAAACTTATTAATATGTATTTTATTATAGGAAAACCCTTGCTCACATCCAATAGTAATCCTCAAAGATGTAGCATACGTAGATCTAATAGCAATAGTTAACTTTATGTACCACGGAGAAGTAATGGTAGCCGAAGAACATCTACATTCCTTTTTGCAAACTGCAATGATTTTACAAGTATCCGGCCTCATAAATCACGAAACCCCTTACACTTTAAACAGGCAAACAACTCCTACGAAAAAAGCCAACAAACATCAAGAAACTCAAGAATCGCCTACAAAAAAACTCAAAATTAGTCCAAAAGACACCAATAAAAAACCCCTTGAGGCAACTCAACCTTTAGAAACTGAAAAACTACAAGAAGAAATTACTGACAATGAAAATATTGAACAACAACAAAGTAGTTCGATTCTAGAAGCCGCCCTAGAAGTCAAAACAGCAGGAAGCATATTGGAGAGGTCGTTGACGTCGCAACCTACTTCTGCTAAAGTGGTTGTGCAATGCGAAAAATTAATTACGTTGCCCGATATTTCGGTCCCGAAAACAATTTTTATACCGAGGAAACCGCCAGAGAATGAGATGGACAGATTTGAGAAATTGATGTTGAGGTCTTCATCTGAATCGTCTTCAAGTCCGTCCACTTTCGAGCGTCCCGTCGAGTATTTGCATCAGAGTCTCAAGATTGAAGAAGAACAACAACAGGAAATGGAGGTAAGTTGTTTATTATATTGTTTGAATTCTTTGGTGAAGTTCGAGTAGACATAGCTGTATTGCTTTTTTGTCCCAGTTCTTCTCATCAAAAAGAAAAAAGGCGAAAGACGCTCTGAGCGCTCAGGGTTTCAAGATGAACTGGTAGTTTATTAACTGTTTGAATGAAATTTTGATATGATTTGCTTTTAAATAATGCATCCTTACACATTTTGATGGAATAACTAGTGAGGAAATTTTAAAACTTTTGAAGTACCTACAAAAAGGGAGAAAAGGAGCTCATTATACTGAAATTTCAAATTGATTCAATGAGATTTAACAGCATAAGAAGTTCTAGAATATCAACTCTTGATAAATACATTTTTGAATAATGCACCCTTTGCCATTTTGATGTTGTTTTTTGTAAAACTAGTTAGAGGAAGTTTTTTTTTTTAAGGGGTTGAAGAAATTGTTATAGATATTTTATTACTTCCCTTTAATTCCTTTATTATTCAAATATCCCTTTCTTGTTTGTTGTGATCTATCATTTTCAGCTGCAAAGCTTCAAAGTCTTTTGACTTTAATTTTTTTTTCCCTAATTTTCAATCTTTCCTCTATCTCTTTGCAAAATATTAATCTAATCCTTCAAACACTTTCCTCAAAAAAAAAAAAATAGCTATTTTCCTAACGAGTGCGCAAGAGTTAGGAACTATATATTTTTTCTACGAGCATGAGTGCGGGAAGAAATCTCTTCCCGCACCAGTGCGGGAAAAAAGTCTTCCCGCACAGCAAATCGTGCGGGAAGAGCCATTTCCCGCACGCTCGTAGAAAAAAAAACATTTCTCAATGTTGTTTTTTGGAAATTAGATTTTTCCCAAAATGACAACACACACATTTTGCCTCAGAACTTTGTTCGTTACAATCCCATCTTAACAAAATTGAACTTCAATTACAGCCAATTAAATTCTCTACAAATCTTCAATGAATATTTTCAATTTCAGCTTCAATAATTTTGCAGCTGTAAAGCTTCAAAGTCTTTTCATCAGGAAAATGACACTAACATACATTTTGCCTTATAACATTGTTAATCTCAATCCGCTTCAATCGTTTTGCAGCTGGGAAGCTGGTAATTAAGCTCAAAATTCATGAACAAAAAGCAATTCAAGAGCCTGTAATAGACAAAAATTGGAATAAAATAAGGCGCAAAATTCTAAATTTCCAATTTTAAAGTCTGGAAACTCGTGTAAAAGGGCCTTTTTGCCCTTAAATGACTCAAAAATACAACCAATATGTAACAATATTATATTAAAAACGATTTTCCCCAACTTGAATTTTGAATTTGGAAGTTGTTCGAGTAAATCTTATTAGATATTCTAGATGCAAAATCAAGCATCTTTTCCTCTGGACTAAAAACATTGGAAAGCATTTTTTTCGCTATTCAATTTTTGTCCCTGGACATTGAAATTGGAGAACTCACTTTCAACAAAGTCTTTTAAGATTCCAGTGTCCAAAATGAAAAAAACTAAACTTACCATATGGAGTCTAGGTTTTTTTGAAGTTCTTACCATGACTTTCTGGTGACTTTTCCAGCTTCTTTCCTCACAAATTTTGCAGATTTATGATTAAACTCTTGGTTATTAGTGGCTGTCCTGTAACAAAATAGTATATTGTGTATTTAGGTGGAAAAGTGACACATTCTCGGCCGACGGTGTATACCGAAGGCCGAGAATGTGCTTTTCCACTGAAATACACATACTATTTTTTCTGCGATCGGTTAAATACCTGTTAAATGTTTGTCTTTTAGTTCCAATTATTCAGCAATACAAGAATCACTTTCCCGGCCTAGGCCGGAAAAGTGTTTCCCGTATTGTTATTCATTGATTCCTTAGCAACTATTGAAACATAATTGAAATACCAGAATATTGAGCTTTGCGACCTGTCAACCAGTCAAAAATGCTGACATTTCTTGTCAATCGCAGAAAAAGTTTGTAATTTAAGTTGTTGGGGAAAACTTTCATTTTCAATAACTTACCTTATTTAAGATTGCCAACTGTAACTTAAATAAGTCCAATTTCCACACCACCCAAGAGGTACCAGCTGTTGGCGCGTTTTTTTTTTATTTCCAAATAAAAATTCAAAGAAAAAAGTGCAAAAAATTGAAAACTTCTATTTTTGGATTTTTCTTTATTCTGATTTTAGAAATCGATAGAGCGAGTCTAAATTAGTCAGAAACAACTCCAACATTAGTTACATTTGGAAATTTCAATGAGAAAAAAATTCAAATGGCAATTTAATTTTTGGCTCTGGACATTTTTTAAAAATCTTGACATGCTCATGAATAATTGCTTATATTTTCGATTATTCTTGAGCAAATTAATAAAAACTATATATCATTGAAAAGAGCATTAAATTCTCTATAAGCCCATAATATTGTAAACTTTCCAAGATATTGAGCCTCAAAGTGGAAATTTAGTTAAAATTTTGTCCAAACCTTTAAACTTGATTTTCTCGAAAACTATAAATGCTAGCGATTTCAGCTAAATACCATCGGAAAGTCCTTTAGAAGAGCTACAATTCCTGAAAATTTTGTTCCAGCGCCGTTTTTGGTTACCGAGCTATTTAAGATTAAAGATTTCCAATTAAAAATCCGAAGAAGTATCCTTAAAAAAAAAGTGCAAAAAATTTAAAAGGACCCCGCAATATTAAAATGGAAATTGGTTACCCCTGATATTTGGATGAAATTTAAATATGTTATTGGGGATGCCGTAAGCAACATTTTTTACCATGAGCACAATCCTGTATATATGACAGGTGAGGCGTGATTAGCTGTCAAATATTGGAATCCTATATCCAAAAGCAGAGTAACTATGGCAGATTTTGATGAAGAAATAATCTATTTCTACTAAGTCGACCAAGTTAAGTAGAAAACTGTCAACCATTTTGACACCTGTCAAAACCCTGCCAAACGGCAGCACTCATCTTTTCCAGTTTTCAATATTTTATGATGTCATTTGACATATTAATTTGTATGTAAATTCTGAATTCAAAAATTGAAAAAAAAAATGACAGAACTGTCAAAACCTGTCATTTGTTTTAGTAGAAAAAAATAATCTAATCTAGTTCTTTCTCGTTTTAAGGTAGTTTATTGGTGATAAAACATTGAACAAAGTTCATGCACGTCACATTTTGACAACTGTCAGAATCTGTCAATAGCTTTAATTCAAAA